ATAGCACACATGATATTTATGACTATATAATGTTTGTTTGTTTTTCTATTCTTTCTTTCTGTGTATTTTTATGTTGAGGTGTTGTAATTAATTGATTCTATTTCTATTCTATTATATTCTAAATTTTTTATTTTCGTCTAATATGACACTAACAAAAACTATTTCGATAAACCGTCCTTTTATGACATTGCATATAGGTACATTAGCTTGTATTACGTTTTTGTTTCCGTATGTAGGTGAGACAATAATAGCATATTGTTTGGATAAAATAAATCACTTTTAGAGAAATTATAGAATGATCAATTGTTAGTGAAAGTAATGATACAGTAGAGGTGTAACAACAGACAATAAGCGGATGATACGCCGAACTCGATAAATTAAGTAAGGTTAGTCGGTCAAGAATCACAAATTGCAAAAAATTGCAGAATCGAATGTGCCTCAGGGATCCTATCTTGGGCCGATTTTATTTTTTATGTCCATATGAATTATATCACATAAAACGTGGTAATAAGCATTTGCACAGCGCTATTCAAATTGCTGCAAAATGATGTATAAACAATTTTACGATATTTTGTACGAATAATGAATAGTTCTGAATCCATATAAGCACTATAGCTATGAGTTACTGCGTTTTGTGTTAAAACTTACAGTTATACTCGACGACCTCCGTGGTCGAGTGGCTCACCATCACCGTCACCGTCTCTGAGGTCCCGGGTTCGATCCCCGGCCAGGCCAGTGTAGAAAAACTAGCTTTTCTGTATTGTCTCTGGTCTGGGTGTTTGTGGCACCGTCGTTGTTTCCGATTTCCATAACACAAGTGCTATAGCTACACACTTTGGGGTCAGAGCAACGTGTGGATGTTATCTATATACTATAAGTTTTTTTATACTATAAGTTTTAACGTAAAACCCAAACTTTTATTAAATGCCACGTAGTTTATATTCACTGATTACGAAATGGAGTACGAGATTTGAGAGAACAGGCATAATTTTAATAACTTCGACAAATATCACAAAGAAAGAAGAGCAAATACCAGGCATCGCTCGAAATTTTTTTTTATTAAATAAACACAATTTGGAGTTAAGTTTATAAGTCACATCGAATTTGTCTCGAATTAGAAATTAGTAAACAATACTCCTAAAAAGTTAATAAGTATTCAACGCGCGTCTACTTAGTATTTTTATATACACATGAAAGCCCTTACGTGATCGCATTCCTGACCATTTTGCACGCAATAATTTTCGATAACTTACCTTCCTTCCTTTCCTTCCATCCTTTCATATTTTTGGTTGAATATAAAGTTACCCTACAAATTTCGCCCATCCCCGAAAATTTTTTACGTAGAGACTATTCTAACCTTGCAATATCTATTGCCTGGAATTTATTCTTTGTTATGATTAATATAAAGATCCTTTGACCCGGCTTGATTTGAACCAGCGCCTTCAGCTTACCGAGACGCTCTCCCAACTGAGCTACGGAACGGCCTTACGAATTTTTCTATATACTTGTTGCACAACTCTGTTTTGATTGTCATAGTTTTATTGGTTCTTCGTACAAAGTTTCATCCCCTATTCCGCTCCTTTTTAACCGACTTTAAAAAAAGGAGGCGTATACGTTCGGCTGTACGTATGTTTTATGTATGTTTTCAGATATCTCCGTCAATTGTGGACAGATTTTGAAGATTCTTTTTTTGTTTGAATGGGTGCACTCTCGTGGTGGTCTCATTGTCGCCAAGTCAGAATCTGATGAGGGGATCCCTTGAAAATCGCAGGAAATTCTCAAATGTTTATAGGCATGTTCGTGTATTCACCAATTTCTCCATAAATTGTGCACCAATTTAAAAAATTTTTCTTTTGTTTTAAAGGTTATGCTCTCGAGGTGCTGCTGGTACGTTTCGGCTACCACAAATTACTAATTATTTTCGGTAAATAAAAGTCGACTTTTCAAATCAACAAATCACCGCCACCATGATAACCATATATTTGTGACAAAAGTAGTCTTTATCCTTCTGCTAGGTCCCATGCGTCTCTATACCAAAATTCATCATAATTGATTTAACGATTCAGGTGTGAAAACGTGACACACGCCTTATCTCGTTACTAGGGCGGCATGTCGCAAGAAACATAATAGAAATAAATACTCAATAACATAAATGTTGATACATACGTGTAATATTATTTCTCTAAGCGGAAACCTAACTCGTAATCATTGCGCAAATTAGCAAGAACCACAATCAAAAAGGATAATAAATAAAACAAACCAGTTGGCTAGTTACTCGTGAATACCAGGTGATTGCTGTGTATAAGTAGTCACATATACAAGACGTGATAAATACTGAGAAATGTAAAGTGTACCTGGCACCAGATACACATTTAAAAACGTGTTGCAACGCGGGCGTGGCAGGTAACCAGTGGACCAGAACTCTATATGTTTCATGCGTTACGTGATCATATCACTTGCAGTTACTTTTACCGTTATAATTCCTAGAATAACATCATAAAGATCAAATTCAAACTTAGAAAATATTAACATAAACTTAATATAAACGCCCAGTGAACATTATAATGAAAATATCGTATTCAAATTTAGTAGGTCTTCTCTGAGGCGAGGATTTAGGGTATGGTCCGCCATGCTAGCCCAATGCGGGTTGGGAACTTCACTAGTTTTCGGAGGGTTGTGAACCTTCTTCGACCTGCAGGTTTCATATACTGATTAATGTTTTCCTTCACCGAAAAACTCATGGTATATTTCAAATTAATAAATTCCGAAAACTCGGACAGGCTCTGTTTGACAGGCGGTAGGTTAAACAATTAGTATATCACGGCTTTGATTTTAATTAAGGGCTTACTCACTGTACTATGGTGTCAACATGTCTGCGAGAACGCTGATGGCCGATGGAGCAGATCTGCTCTAGAGTGACGATTGAGAAAGGTTGCCGTTAGCGGCTGGATGCGGTCGGCAAAGGACCAAGAGAGTTGCTGTACTCAGGGGAAAGCTTATATCCAGCAGTAGATGCGTGTAATTTGCTATATTACATTTTTTGTACTTATCTGAGTCTTAGGAGTTTAACCGATTTTGCTGGCTGCTAATCAATCAATCAATGTAAAATTGACACTTTCCATTGTCTAACTAATTTGGGTTGTCGTATTTGGATTAAACAGAATCATTAATGCATGCTTTAATCCATTATCACAAGGCTCATTACTGCTTTGTTACAACGATACGACTTTTTACGCCACTTCTTCTGATATTTCAGAGCGTTTTCACGCTCCATGATCACAACGATGATGTCACGTCGTAGAGAGCGGTAGATAGTAGATAGGTAATAGATATCATATCAATCATTAATTCAACATTATCAACCATTAAGATAATAATCCTCCACTCTGCCGTAAATACTATTTGGGAACTTTAGATGGCTTTCAAGGTTCTCCGATGTGCAAAGTTTCATTTTTTTTTTCATTCATTGCTTTTGTTTCAAAATTAAACTTAAACTATCTCTATTTCTTGACAACCTTACGTTGATTAAACTCTACTACTCATTGGTAAGGCAGATTCCCCTAAGAAGAATGAGTTAGAAATTCTAGGGGTTGCTCTTTGTAACTAAACATTTCTCACTACCAATATTTGTTACACATTTCATAGATCGAGACTACCTGCAAGAGACAGACGGGTCACTTTTGATTTTTGTCACCCAAGGACGCAGAAGCTGTCTACTTATATACATTTAATATAAAGTTTTTGTTTCCCAAAATTTTGAATCTCGTGATTGGCAAATGTTAAACATTAATCTCAATTTTATTACAGATTTGTGAAGACGATTGTCAAGGACAGCCAGATTTTATTCCTCGCATTAATTTTATGTCTATCACTAATCGAAACAATCAATTTTCGAAAAATGACCATTCATGTTACTGAAAATAAGTTGAAAATTCGAAATCTTCGTTTATTGACGGATTTGTTTTAACATTCTAGAATTCGTCGTTCATTTCATATTTTGAGCTGCAATTACTGTATTAAGTGTTACGCTTACTTAATTAACAACGAATGCCGCACGTAAGAAGGCATTATCACGTAACTGAATGCAATTGGCCACTGCGGGTTACAATCCACTGACTTCGTTGTGTTTTTCGTGGTGGGTGACACTTATAAACAGCATATGCCTCTATAGCTGTGTAAAAGAATAGTTACAGAGGTTCCGGTCTCGATGTTCGTTGAACAAATTTAGGAAACCAACTCTTCTAACCTTATTTGTTCTCAATGAAGTGACCCTTAATTTCATAATTTTTGGTGGTATAATTTTGTAAGGCTTTAAGGTTGTTTAAAATACAGTCACGCTGGGTTTTACAATTCAGGCGTGTCGGCGGATGCTCAAAGTCATAGTTGTAAACACTGCAGGGGTTCAGTTGTTGATGGGCAATGAAATTTAGTTGTTCCCCATCTGTGAGACCTTAACTCATGCGGAATTGCGGTTGGCATGCAAACAGTCCTGGTACATAGATGTCGTTGGCAATGATGAGATTGCGGTAGCACATAAAAACAATTAGCAATTCTTCTCAATGACGAACTTTTATCATTTTTATCTATGCCTACATCCAGCATGAGCATAGCCAAACCCAAAAGGTCAAGAGGAAGCCAAGAGGAAGTAAATCATTCTTGTCTTCAATATTTGAGCTCTACGATACCGCTTACAATTGTCACTTTTAACAATCGTAGTTTTAAGGTATGGAACCAATTTTCTTCAAATCATTAATTAAATTTGTCATACATTCTTAATTATAGAGTGAATTATCATAACGGTAGGGAATTTGCAGTAAGAAAATTTGTTACTGGTGAAGAAAAACTGTTTACGATAACTGACTTATAACGCTTAATACGGGTTACGGGAAAGTCATTAAAACCTAAGCAACAATCTATAAATAAATGTTTAATGCATTAAACAAGTAGGACAACAATTAATTCTAACATAACAACTAAATAAATAACAAAAAGGTACTCAAATATGTTATGGAGCGTATTTACTCCCTACGTGATGTCTAACACCCCATTTGTAGTTGGCATTCTTGTCTGTCTTGATAAAAGTATGGACGGGGCCAGTCACGCCGCTGGTTCGACGGTCGTGATGGTCGCGATGGTCGCGGTGGTTGCGGTGGTCGTGGTGGTCATGGTGGTCGTGATGGTCGTGGTGGTCATGGTGGTCGAAGTCGTGGTCTCTTTTGGGACGCTGCCGTTGATTTTCCTCTTCTTGGACCTCACGCACATATGCTGTAAGATTTAAGAATGCGTTACCAAATTTTGCGACTTACGATTTATTTACACGGTATTACAGTCAGTAAAGTAATGCACTGTTGAAACGAAAGAATAAACAGAACAGGTGTTATATCAAAACACTAGCACTCCTAGCATCCATCATTTTATAATATTTTAAACATCCATAGCAAACTTGGCCTATCGCCACGCAAGCAACACGCACTCTGTCTCTGATACCAAGAGCTCATGCATTGTGAGGGTACGGAGAAGTGGTGAGTTCTTGTGTCATTCTTGAGATGTCTTTGACAAATAATCTTACAATTTGATCCAGTATTTGAGAACAGTCCAACGTGCCACCTAGAACCCGACAAACAGACACCAGCAAGATTTTGTTCCGCCTTAACGCAAAAGTCAACAAGAAACTCATAAAATCTTGGTAATTAATGCCTTTGTCAAATCTACTACGATAATTGATCGTAGTAAGTCGATATGAGCGTAATCTGTAGAAGCTGGTAGCAGTGGCAAATGTTTCGTAAGAAGGCTAGATAAAAATTCCCAACATGATGGACTAATGAGTTAAAAGTAAAATTATCTTCAGCTTCTGCACCGCGGACAATAGAGGTAGTTTGTTCACTGCAAAGTTAAATAATGATGGTCACGATCCTCTATCGGCATGTGGAAACTATCAAAAAGTCAGTTTCAAAAGCATTCATATACAAGCGCCTTAGGTACTTGAACTGAAGCAGTAATAAAGATGTCCTTCTGAGTGCAAGTGAGGATAAAAGATTTTTCTGCTTGCACTGTGCAAGGTACAGGGACCTGTTCTTGCTGTGATAATACGAAATCAATTATCTTTGGCGACTACGACGAAACCGAATGATCTTTGAATCATTTGATTTCGTGACACCGTACAGATAACGGCAATCTACCTTTACGCTATAGATTTAAATTCAACTTTATGCCACTTACTATAAGATTGAAAGTTCCAAGTGCAAAACTTATCAGACCGTTGACTGTACATCAAATGATTGCAAGGCGCTGATTTGTCACGGCAAAAAGTGAAACTTTTGTGATGGTTAGGAAAGGAAGTCTCAGTTTTGAATAGCGACTACGAGCTAGGGTTTATGATTAGCGGGTTAGCACTACATAAAATTTTAGTACATAGTCAATTGACAAGTGCGCTAATAAGTTTATAGTTCACTTGGAATTAGAAGTGAAGATGCAGAGCATTGAATAACGCCCTAAAGTTACCTCTCAACAGGATATATCACAGATACAGAGAGTGTGCGATGGAATTGCACGATTTAATTCCGCCTTCCCCTTCCCATCGTCGGGGAACCAGACGGAGGCTGCTGCTCCACACTTTGTTGTAGATATTCCAAACATTCGCACGAAGCGTTACGCTTCTACGTTTATATGGAGAACGGCTATGGAGTGGAATTCCCTGCTTGCAGACTTATTACCTGGATTCTATAACTTCAGCATTTTCAAGGCGAGTGTGAATTAAGAGTGTGAGTTGTGAATTAAGAAAAGGCATTATTTACGCGTGCATGCACCATTGTAATTTTCCATTAAGTGAGATTGAGATCAAATGCGCACTTATTGTTTTATTAAAAAAAAATAACTTACCAGAGCTAGGCACTCTATGCGTCAGTGGATGGAAATGTGGAGGAGGTTGAATATGGCGGGTGTACCTCGGCGGGCCTCGTACAGGATAGAACGGTACCGACCACGCCGATGTTAGAGCGAGAACGCATGATAGTATTAGCTGGGGAAAGAAAGAGAGGTTCGATGTATTATGCATTGTACCATGTTTTCGGATGAAAATCCCGTCATAAACGACTATGACCTGTAAAGGATCCCATACGTTGGTTTATTTGAAAAACAAAAATACCTCTATAATAATATTACTGGTGGGAGAATTGCTTCTCAGTTGAGATGTCGATGGTTCGAATCCCGGTAGCGACATGGACTTTAATTTATAACATAATGTAATGAACATTATGTTCAACATTCCCAAGAATGTTTAGAAGCAATACTTTTCGCTAACGGTGAAAGTTAACATTGTGGTGAAGAGAGCTAGACAAAGAGGGTTCACAACCTCTGAAAGTCCCCAACCCGCATCGGGCCAGCGTAGCGGGTTTTTTTTATTTAATTCAGATTATACAGACATATAATATAACATAATAAAACATGTATAATTGTGATTTTTTGTGAAATAACACCACTAGTTTTTATTATTATTATTATTAATACGTCTGCGGCGAAAAAGGTTCTAAAATCTCTCACTAACGGCGCAGAATGCCGAAAAATCCAGTACAAAGAAAACACGTAGGAGAATTTTGACAATGCAGGTGCAGCATGGCCGTAGTTTCAAGTCCCATTGGGCCGAAGAAAATTTTTCTGTGTTCGATCTTTGTATTAAGTAATCATAATTTATTAAAACACTACTTATTTATTTATTTACACGCATGGACCTCGACGTGTGATGCAACCTGGGTGTCCGGTAACCGGCATCGGAAACGTTGATACATGACACCCCACGGCCAAAACTCGTTCAGCTTTAAATCGCAAAAATCTGAGGGCCCCTGTCACTGCCCTTCACCCTGAGATATAAATTGACAAGTCCTATGTGCCTGTAATTTCACCAGCACCCTTACCCTTTAAAACCGGAACACAGTAATACTAACATTGCTGGCGGAAGAAATAGGTTAGGTGGCAGTACTTCCCTGGACGAACTCTTTCACAAGAAGCTCTATTACTGCTTGATACTGATAAAACAAAAGATAAAGTTTATAATTGCCGTACAAATTGTTTTGGAATTACTATTATTTTCAAGTCATGTTGTTATTATCAGAATGCTAAAATTTCAAATTATGTTTTACACTGAGACAAAAAAGGTAAATTTTTGATAAGGTTCTGTCACGTAATTTTGAGATTATGAAATAATTAAGCGTAAATTTAACTTTCTCGTTAAGTATTGAGAACTAACAAAACATTTCCACTATTGCAACCTACTTGATTCGTATTAACATAATATGTAGAGCGTTATGTAAGGAACAATGCAATTAACCTGTTTGGTTTATTAACTCGATCTCTGTTATACAATACATTTGCCAAACTATAAAACATTTATGTATACTTATGTTACAAATATACAGTGTTTTTCTTAATTGGGTCAGTAGGGACATTCGATCGGATACAGAATCGGAGATACAGAAAACCAAAAATAAAATGTTATTCATTTTGTTTGAAAAACATTTTATTAAATTTGACCAACTTCTACTGTCTCGATTTTTTTCCTATACAGTGAAATGATTCTTAAAATTAAAATACTATACTTGGTTTTTTTTAGAATTAGAAAAACAGTAAACATAGGAGCATAGACCTTTTTCTTCGGACAAAAAATCACAGTAAAAGAAAACTTGATGAGAATTTATGACAAAAGACACGATAATATTACGTTAACATTTTACAAAAAAGTCTCTATTAATATTTGGAAACTCTGTTCCTTTTTATAGACTAAAGACTAAGACTAAACGTCTTTGAAATGGATAAAGTTTGTAAAGATAGAAAATCTTTATTAAATACTCGTATCTTGGGCCGACCGAGATCCGATGAACCGAGGATCTTAAGGATGATGCGGACATGGAAAGCGCAGGTCAATGTTAGTACTTTTTTTATGAGGTCAATACTGAGGGTACGAATAAGTCGCCCACTTAGTGGTAATAAAGACGCCTGTCCATAGCATTTACATTACCACACAGTGCTTTAAATCACTAAGATTTGTGGGGCATTGCCACAAGGCCCGTTACCCTGAAACATAAATTGACAAATCACATGGGCCTGTAATTTCACCAGAGCCAACATGGTCGTGCAAACTCGTTGGTTGGAAGATTAGCTAATGTACAGTGAAGATAACATTAAGGTATTTTGCACATCACTGTACACGGCAAGTTTGTGGTTTAAATGTAACCAAAAACCGTACAGTGCTCTGCGAGACCAATTTAATGATACATTCAGGGCCTGTTACAGATCTCGCACTTTTGCAGCGCCTCGGGCATGTTCGCAAACGCGCGCATGGACGGTTTTGACGCAGTCCGGCGAACTAAAACTGCCTGGCTTTTGAACAATTGATTGCCCGGGAGCTGTTAACGGCATCCTGGAAGCGATAGCTGGCCTGACTGCCCGATGATGTGTAAACTAGCGCAGAGACCAATTTCATACGTAGTTAATTTAGTACTAATCTAGAATAAGTCTACTAACATTTTAAACTGGAAGGACACGGCGATGCAGGAGCGAGAGGAAGACTCTTCCTCTCATCTATGCGCCGCAAACGTTAAGTGCGCAGGCGGCTGGTCTGCGCCCGCCAACTGCCGCCCTGAAAGTGAACCCTGAGTGGCAAAAACGGGGGCTACTGGCACTATAAAGTCCTCCAATGTTGGGTCAGCAGTCGCAGGCCATGGATCGTAAACTACGTGGCCACAGCCCCGTCCCATGCGGGATGTGGGAATGCTAGTTTTAGTTGATCTTAGCTAATAAGTTGTTATGGAAATGAATAAAATTTGTATCTATCTATATTAAAACTAAAGTCAAAACTTCTCATTTAGTCTTACTCCATATAACAAAAGGTTACAAAGTGAAAGTGTTCTCAATAACTCAAAATACATATTGTAATTGTTATATTTATACGCAATTTGATTGTAATTATTTCCAATAATTCGTTGCAATACGTAATGTGTTGTTACGTGATGGTGTTGGTAAGAGGCGAAAGTATTGTTAATCGAAATGAGATCGAAAGCATGCCGGTAGATTAGGTCACCTAAAGGTGGCTAAGTACGTACTAGCCTTATAGGAAATAAATATTACGTATAATAGAGTTGCAGGCTTTAAATTTTACAGCAACTACATTTTTTTAATATTTAATGATAGAATTCATGAATTAAAAAGCCGTGGTAGCCTAAGGGAGCATTTATTTGATACGAATTACATCGCGCTCACCCCGCGTTGCCGCCGCGCAGCGACCGCGTGCGTCTAACTGTCATGGTAAAATACGTTCTATTCATTAGGTTTTACATTTTAACTTTAATGAGCATCCCGGGCACGCGGGCGTTGTTGTTGTTGCCTAGTAAATACAATTCTGATTCGCCTCGAATCTTCGCCTTCAAATGTACATGAAGGCGCGGTAACTGGGCGGTCGCCGCGCGGCGGCCGCGCGAAAACTTTCTCCTCGTGTATCTGGGCGCTTTGACCTACAGTCTCTCAGGCAGAGGTCGCGGTACCATTAGCTTTTCAATGAAGGAAATTATAGTGCTGAAACCTTTACGTGGAATAACGTGTGAAGACCCAAGGAAGACCTCAACCCGAATTGGGTCCGCGTGGCAGACTATGGCCTAAACCCTCGCCTGAGCGGAGACCCGTGCCCAACAGTGGGACGAATATATTAATGAAAATATTATCAATGAAAAGTGATTAATCATCATTATCATCAGTCCATTAAACTTCCCATTACTGGGCACAAGGTACCTCTAAGGCTCACAATGGCGCAGAGTCGAAGCGTCACGACGCGTCATGTTTTTCGCCTATAATTAGCATATTCATCTCTATTTTCCCATTATTAAGATAGGTCGTCGCGCGTCTTCGCCGCCTTCGCCTTTTTGTAGTTGAAAAACAGGATGCGACGCGACACTTTGACTTTGCGTCATTGTGAGTTGAGCCTAAGGGGGTCATCAACTAAGCAAAAATGGCAAGCTAAGAAAGTTTTTCGTATTAACACGAATTTCGATTCAGTTTAAGCAAGAAATTACGAATAAAACGTGAAGTTTAATTCATGAATGAATTAATGGAGTATTCTCTAGTGCACATTAAAATTATAATGACAACACAGGCAGTTGTATCACAGAGTAAGCTAATGTACAACGGCCTTATTGCCAAGTAGCAATTTATTTTCTTTTCAAAGCTTAATTTATGACTTTCATGTGATAAAACGGTCATTTTCGTTACCCCTCCTCAAGTTTCTTCTAAGTTCTAGTAACTTATTTTCGCAACGAACATAGAAAAAAGGCCAAAAATAAACAAAAGAACTTTAGTCATCGAGTTTATGTACCCGATAACTGTATCTTCCGCCTTTAAAAAAAAATTACGATTAAATTACAAACACTTGGCAGTTGGCTGTACGAGTTTTCCTTTTGCCTGTTTACATAGTTCATCTAGTAGGTAGATTAAAAGTTTAGAGAAGTGGACAGTAATGGATTTTCATACGTACTTTGCAGGCTTTGGCAGAGAAGAAGACACAAGGTCCATAAATGCAAATTTCCGTGTTCATTTTTTGAAAGTAATGCAAACATTACCGAGCATGTTTGAGAAAAATATAATTTATTGATGGTAAAAATCAATACCCACTATTGCCGCCATTTCATAGTCTATCCAACCAAGGTACACCCTGTTACACAAATTACGCAGGCAACTATTCGGCCGCGAAATTTGAGCGCATCTACTAAGTCCAATAAAAAAAAATCACTATTTTGTTGCAGTTGTTGTTTACATTTGGATAGCAGCCAATTGTGATTGATAGAAATGTGTGGCGCCAAAATTCCACGACTTGGTCTTTTACTGTTTTGTTTTGGTATCCGGGCGTTCCTTCAGAAGATAACAAGGTAGCTATTATTTTCCTGTTACCAGTGGAACCACTTTTTGCGATACTAAGAATACCCTATAACACTGCAGATGCGTTGCCAACTGTGAGATATAAGATCTTAAGTATTCCATATCTGTGATTGCATTGTCTCATTATATCGTTGTATTAAGAGCACAATGGTGCTGTTATATGGTAGAAAAAGGTGTGGCGATCACTACGTAGGCGCGTATTGCTCAGAAAACCATGTCACTTGCGATTGACTTTTTATTCATAAGCACATTTGCAAGAAAAAAGCACAAATTACACCCAAACTCACAAAAGAAATAAATGTAGGTCATAGAAGTATTTCTATATTTATTCTCCCTTCTGCAATTTAAATATCGATAATATACAGATTAATGGAAAGGATGGACCCTACATAATGTTTTACAGGTGCGTCCACCACGCTACATCGACATTCACTGCCGGCAATTACCAGAATTCACAACAACTATACATTTGATTACAATGTGTGGGACATGCTTAAAAATTAATTTATTATTTTGATGAGCCTAGGAACGTCTGTAGGAAAGTATTGCAAGTAAAAGAACAGTATACAATAGGCACCCTAAATACCCTTTCCCATGATATTCCAAGAAATAGAATTTATATGAATAATTTACTCACCACTACTTTGTAATCCATATTCGCGAATCAATTGGCTTCCTTTCCCCAGTTTCTCAGTGTTGACAATGACTCAATCCAACTTGGTCACCGACTCTTATAAGTCAGTTTGGAGAGAATCGAAACGAATTTGAACTTTCTACCGATTTTACGGTCTATCGCTAGTCAATTGGTGCAGATCGATCACAATGCACCTTTGCTTATAGTAACATGTAGTGTTCTGCGATGTTTCTCTTTACCCCACTATTGCAGTAGGTCTTCTTCTTAACATATCGATGGTATTCTCTATATTATTGCGATCTAGAGCTTAGCCACGCTGATCACGCCACAAGTATCTGACATGCTGAATTGTGCATAGGATGTCATACTCGTCGATTGTTGTGTAGAGTGCGCCAAACGTACAAGGAATGCGATTGCAGGGGGGCTTCTTTCGTGCACCCAACGTAACAACGTTGTACGAAAGAAAAGGAAACCGATCCTTGGTTTCCACAACAGCTTTTTCTGCTCCACCGGTCATCGGCTCCGCGGCTTATGTATTCCGGTCATCGCCATTTTCTTTGTTAAATGATAGTGTTTTGTTAAAAGATACAGAAGTTTGAAACGGGTAATTCTCAGATTATTTTTTGTGCCTACATTTGGTGACAAGGTTTATTATTTAATTATAGAATATATTATCGTGAAATATTAAATAATATTTCAGATTACTACACTGGAATATTAAATAATACTTCATTGTTATGAATATTCTAGGATATGATTATGAATACAATGATCGAACGTACCGAAAATCTTCGTCGACCCGGTGGGACTTGAACCCACGTCCATGCTGCACCGTGGCATTGCTACGAAATTCTCCAATGCGTTTTTGTTATAGGTCGTTGTACTCACTTTTTCGGCATTCGGTGCCGCTAGTGACGTCTAGTCAGAGATTATTGAGTAACTTTCTCACCGTTGATCTTTGCATTCATAATCATAACAAAACTAGTGAACTTATTTCACAAAAAGTCTCAATCAAATAATATTCTACAATATTTAAACAATGAAAACTGCCACCCAAATTAGGTAAAGAAAACAAACCTGAAAATTACCAATTTCAAGCTCCGGTATTAATACACATCTTTGCGCAAAGAAAATGGCGATGGTCGGAGCATATAAGCCTGTCTGTATAACTCTATATGTTTTCTTTATTATACATGTTTTTAATTATTTTGAGATGATACGTAAACTTTTTTATTTTTTGTCTTTGTTTTCTGTTAACATTGTTTTTTTTTAATTACAAAGAATTAATGTAATTTCTATAATCGTTTCAAATGTATGTATTTTGTACGTCAAAAAAATGCCAATTTTATTTTTTTTAAAGGCTCCTTAACTCATTCGTCAAGAACGACATGCAAGTTGGCTTCCATTTACGACTTATTATCGCATGCTGCTTAAATCAAAACCTTCATGGCTTCGCCGTAATCGGACAAAAGAAGCAACCAATTGCAGTTTATTACAAATTTTGTATAATCATTTTCTTTTTTTGCAAATTCAAATGGTTTTAGAAGTGTCGTCGTAACCGTTGCGCCCGCGCCGTTTAGTTTTTATGCCCAGTTTCAGATTACGCTTCCGAGGAGACTCCGGAAACAATATCGGCATATAAGGCGGTGACACAACGGGGTATTCGATGATCATAATAATCATTATATTTAATTATATACACAAACGCAGTATCACTGTCGCTTAACATCATGTGAGATTGAGGTCAAGCGTGTGTCTGTAGTAAATAATTTGTTATAACATTTTGTTGTAATTATCGGTCGGTAAGTGACGGGACACGAATAAATCGTGGGCCTGGTAGTAATCGACACGCCCATTCTCATTCATAACAGCTGCAGTGCCACTCAGAGCTTTAAATCGCAAAGATCAGAGGGGCACTGCCACGGCACCTGCCATCCGGAGACATAAGTTGACAAGTCCCATGTGCCTTTAATGTCACCAGATCACATTAATAGTGACATTACTGCTTAGCGGCAGAAATAGGTAAGGTGGCGGTACTTCCCTGGACGAACTATTTCATAAGGAACGTTATTGCTACTATTATATACATAATAATATCTACATACATAATATAGTCCTTTGCCACCTCTCGGGTAATTTTAGAATTCCACATTCATAAATGTCTTTACTCGCAAAATACAGCTCTAAGTCGTTTGATAATCGTTTGATTATCGCTTGCTGGCTGATCGTTATCAAAGTCGTGTCCTCAAAGAGTTTTGTAAAGACGGAAACCAGTGAAAATCGTTTATGTAAATATTAATTACAATAAATGGCACCTCCTCCATTTTGTTGGTTTCGTGCCGCCACGACACGCAAATCAGGGGTCACTCCTTGCCCTTTCCCACGCCGTTAGAACAGGTTCCGGACAAAAAGACCGGAAGACTGTATCTATCATTATTTTTGTCTATTGCATTTTGCTATTATCATAAAAACCATCCGTTATTTTGGTGCTAGTAGCTACTAGTATTTCACCAGCACCCCTAAACCGGAACGCAGTAATGTTCGCATTAATGCTTGAAGGCAGATATAGGTAAGGTGGAAGTACTGCTACTAAATGTTACCGGCGGCTCCAAGTGCGTCACCTCCCTTACGATGAGATGCAATTAAATTACGTAGCATTGTGATGATATAACTTTTCTCATTACAGCATTCATTACGCAGGCAGTTATTGGCTAGCTAATAATTGGCGAATCAGTGATTTGCACTCCAGTGATCAGCTTTGTTTCTGTCATAATCATTTTCAGGTCTCCGCTCCATTTGCAGCTGATTACGTCAAAATAACTGACACTGTTGTTTTAAGTGAACTTCTGCACATAAAAACATTACAGTCTCGTACTGTAACAGTTTTATTATGTGATTATGCTACAGTCAAGACTATTATTGATATTAATTATGAAAAATTAATTTATGTTAATTTATTCATGAAAGTAATGATAGATATAACTGTAGCGAACTGTATCATTGGGATTCGGGTGCTATTGGAGTGTGAGCAAGATCAGTTCCCATGTATTTTCTACATAAGTTTAGTTTATAGTGATCTTCCCTATCAACGTCTTGAGTATGAGAGAAGGGCCCTATAACCTGTGCAAGCAAGCCCGCACCAGTCAGGTCCTGACCCCAGATCAACCCGTTTGCACGAACTTCATCCGGTTCTTGAAAGGCTAGAGCCTCGGGTGAGCCACCCCGGATGCACACATAGTACCTCCCTATTTTCCATATAAGTACCGGAGCTGTAGATACGCTCACTTCCCGTTGCATTGCACAACTAACGGTTGCCACCGCTAAGCCGTTCAGTCTAAAGTCCACTACCAAATCTCCTCTTTGGTGATGGAGCTTTAAGCATGCCGACGCCGAAAAATAAACGGCGTCTCTCCAGTTCCCATTAACCTAGGAGGGACCGGATGATATCTAGCTCATCCTCTACTGGCTCTCCGGGCTAGTGCCGGAGATGCTGGTCGCAGTGTCTTGCGACAATGTCCGGACATAGCTTCCGACTTAAACCACCAACCAAGTTACAGCTAACCACAAACCCCAGGCCCAAACCCAAGTCCGGGTCCACCAGAGACGCCTGGCCTTGCCGTCGAGCCCGTAGTCTCCCGGAATTCCCTATCTCTCGGGTCGGTAGATAAGGATACAGGGTATAGTTACAACAAAAACAGAAGCAATAGTGACAAATAGAAAGAAAAAGGCGCCAAAAAGAAATACATTTGAATTAAGGATTTTAATCTAAATCTAAACTGTCAAAATGACTATAAATAAAATATATGTACAAAAAAACCAGCTGCGATTCGCTGTAATAACATTAACATGAGGAATTAAAAATAAACAAATTTTTCTTGACAGTCGTCTTCATCATGCCATAAAATAAGTTTTCGGTTGATACTTATTTAAAATTTGCCATTTACGAGGTTAAAGTCAATCAAGAATTTTATTAAAGTTATATTAAGAGCTTGATGTATAACAAAAATCCGTGATATTGACCCGTATTAGGCCTTCCAGGTTGTCTCGATCAGGGCACGACTTAAATAGCGATATCTCAACGCCAAAATAGCAGCACATATCTCGCACTTTATTTCGCTTTCATCGCGCTCTGTCGTGCTAACCCTACAGTAATATTAAAAATGAAAGAATGAATGAAGTTACAAAAAAAACCCCTAAAGTTTCTTACTATTCTTCTCCGGTGAATGAGTAAGTTGTAGTGGTTAATCAATGTAACGGTTTTAATTTTTTCCATCCTCTAAGGTTTTAAGTGTCATTTGAGTACATCAAGCATGACACTTTGAACTTTGGACAGTTATTGACACAGAGTTTTGACTAGGTGTACAACAATAAGTTTTGAATGGAATACAAAGGAGTTGTTCCTCTAGTGGTACTAAAATAAATGGAAAATTTTACCAGGCTATTAGATGGTTTCTTGTAAAGGGCTTTCAAAATCTAGAGTCTGAATTAAAAACAAATTATTTTTTACCAGCAATTTTCAGAAAATCGTTACGGATTTTTAATACTATGTAGTGTAGTGAAGTAAAACGGAACACAAACCCACGGAACGGAACGGATTTTTACGTAATTTTTTGGCTAATGGGCCAGAGGCCCATGCCATAGGAAATATTGACACATCAGATGTCAAAGTCATTCTTGTTGCAAAGAGGAAAAAAATAAGAATTTAATTAGCCAACTTCAATTATGATTTTGAATATTTTAACGTTTAAGTGTTGCTGCTTTTTGGACTTTTCTTTAGTATCGCAGTGTTGCTGGAATTAATTTAACATATCTACCACACTTTTGTTTTAAATAAATAAAATAAAAATGCAGGTCACAATATTTTTTTAAATTACTTTGCTAAGCTCTTTATTTCTAACTTATATCTAGCAAAAAAATTGAAGCTGGTTAAATTTTTCTGGGAATAAAGTACCAAGCTCCATACTAATTCGGTACAAGTCCTTTAAGAGCAGCGTTAATAATTATTTAAACTGGCCGTAAACAAGGGCGGCGAAAGCCAAGTGGATCAATTCAAAGGTCGACGGTTCGTATCTCTGTATTTAGGAGTTGATACCTCAGCACGAATTCAAATTTTTTCCGTTTTAATACGGTTCATTTTGCTTGGGCCGAGCGGCGGGGACATTGGCTCATTTCGGAATTGATTTTTTTACAAACGAAATTAAAGCTATTCGAAAAATGTATATCGTATACTATAATAATAATAATAAATATATCTTTATTTATCTCCACAACACAATACA